TCTACATACATATATATATATATATATATATATATATATATATATATATATATATATTGTCAAGTGATCATATTGCAACAAATTCAATTTAAGAGTAGTTTCAACGTATAATAATAACACTATAATCAAAATAGCTTATTATATGTTAATAAGAAACACTGTGCCACATGATGCTTTCTGACCTCGCGTATAAATAGGTATGAATCATAACAACGCTCAAACAAGACCCTGATAATATCCAACATAGTGATAGTAAGCAGAAGGTTGAGAACAAAGAAAAAAGGAAACAATGGGGCACAAGAACACAATTTTCCTGGCTCTCGTAGCTACCTTGATTGCAAAGGAGGCCTTTGCAGCACAACATGTAGTTGGTGGAAGCCAAGGCTGGGATCAATCTACAGATTTTAAGACATGGATTTCAGGCCAAACATTCAAGGTTGGAGATAAACTTGGTATGTTTCTTTTACATAATTATCACATTGGTTTTTCTTTCTTTAAATATTACATGACAACAAAGAATTTTCTTAAAACAAATTTCGTTAATTAAAACCGGTAAGTTCTTGTAATGGCGGCCACAACGTCAAGAATTTTGGAATTTCTGTGTTGTAGCAGTTACATCAACTGCATTTTTCTATAATTTTTCATAATATTAGATTTTTTGACAAAGTTGTAATTACAATTGTTGTGCAGTAGAGTTCACATATATACATCATTGGTATAATATAATCTACTTTAAACTTAAACTATCATAAATTTAATTTTTCTCATTAGTCATCCAAAAGTTTCGTGTCGAAAGAAACATGTGTGTTTATAAACAGTATTCTCCCTTATTTTTTTTTTTTAATAATGTGAGAATTTATTTATACCTCTAACAACAACTCTTATATAAAGTGAATTTTCATATAACTTAATTTTATAGAATATAATTTGATCATGTCACTAGATAATAGAGAATCTCCAACAACAACAACCATGAACACACGTTAAAACCTTGACAATAAATGAAAAATTTCAAATTTTGTGGACAAATGAGATCGACATGTTATTATTGTTGTGATCATTTTTGCAGTTTTCAAGTACACTTCTTTGCATAGTGTGGTTGAACTAGGCAGTGAGAGTGCCTACAAGAATTGTGATATTAGCAGTCCAATCAAGTCCTTGAGCACTGGCAACGATGTTGTGAAACTGGACAAGCCAGGTACAAGGTACTTTACTTGTGGTACCTTGGGACACTGTAGTCAAGGGATGAAGGTGAAAATTACCACAGTGAAAGGGAATGCACTTTCTCCTGCATCATCACCATCACCATCATCGTCACCGTTATCATCATCTTCACCTTCATCATCACCATCTTCTTCTACTACCACTACAACCGATACATCTTCAGCCTCACAATGCTTCACCTCATTCATTTTCATTCTTGCATTATCAGTCACAATAATGATTTCCTTGTTTTAATTCGTAATATGAAGTTGGGTTTATAAATGTCACAAGTATATACACTTGTTGGTTATGGTGGCATGGCAATTCTAATTCATCTCGTTGTATTCACATAATTCGGAGCTAGTCCCTAATTGAGCTGCTACGAGGCAGATAAGGGACTTGCATATGCTTTATATGTAGTATTAAAAGTACATGTATCTCAATAATAGTTTTTACTTGATTATTATAATCACTTTGGTTAGTTTGTAGAGTAAACTATACTCTTAACCATAAGAGATCTTTGAATATGCTGTCATACTCTATATTATTTTTAAATCACACATCTCTTCCTTAGTAAAATTAATGTATTAAAAGAATATTTCTTTCATTGTTATGATTCTTGGCATTATCAACAGTTAATTTTAAATATATCCTATTAATTTTGTGGCTCTTGGTTATAATTTTTTTTATAGATAAAGTTGATAGAACTAACAAGAATTGGCCCTAGTGAAAGGGGCCAATCCCTCGTATATAACATCGTGAACCTAAATATCTAAATAGACTTTTTGATCTACATATAATACTGATCCATTACTTTGAGAAATAACAGGAATACAAATCTAAGAAATTTAAGACATTCAGATATTCGAGAGTAGATATTCTTTGATCAAGAAATAATGATATCCAGAGGTAGTACTATGACCTTTCCAAATATTTTCTGTAGCTAGTTCATGTAACTATATATGATCCAAATAATTATTTGTGATCCTCTAATAATTAGTTGGATTGAAGTTAGTGATAACTTAATCCATGACTTTCTATCATATATAGAAGCAATTTGTTGCAATTATAAGCTAGACTCCCTTTCAAGTGTTAAAATTGATGCTTGAAAAATGCAGTAACAACATTGTACACCATGTCCTTGGCATTGACCCCCATAATGTAGTCAGCATGAGCATATTCCTCGATGAACTGAACACTTAGCTTGTCTTCATCATGGAACTTCAAGTGATCAAGCATATTTCTTACATCAATAACATCTGAGAGTGCATCTTTGCCACCATAGCTTATGAAGAGAGGGAGGTTATGGGGGATATTGGAAAGGTTATAGATTGGAGGATAAATTTCTCCATAATGCATAATATTATACTCTGGTCTCTCATAGTTGAATTTTGTCAAAACCCCAAGTCTAACAGCTGCATGAAATCACAGAAGATCCTTCCTTATTCAGTCATAAAAATAATTACATTCATTGAACTACTAATTAATTAAAGTTTAATTACCTTTTTGTTTCCTATAATTTCATAAACTTTTTCATTTGATTCCTATCGTTAAAAACGTTCCGTTTTAATGTCTATACACACTATGTTTTTTCGTTTTAATATGTCATTTATCGTTATAAAGACTAAAAGATAATATTTATAAAAGTAAAGGACTAAAAAGAAAAAGAAAAAAAAAAAATATATATATATATATTAAAATAACATGTCTTGAATTACAAAGATTAAAAGGGAAAATTTATAAAATTATAGGAATTAAAAAAGTATTAAATCATTAGTTAACTACTTGACTAGCCAGATTGGAAATTCTTACTCTGAGACAAGTGCACCATGTTCTTTGTTGATGTTGGCTGAGGTTCATTCTCCATGAATAGATCAACAGTTGAAGAATTGAGGCAGCAATTTTCACCTGAATAGGACAATTCAGCCGTACATACACATGGTCAAACACTGGATATGTGTGAAAATGTGTCTAGTGCCTGAAATCAAATTGGTAACAAGCCATAAGAGTTTGTGCAAAGACTTAGACCAGTTATTGCAGTAAACAAGTTTGTGCAGTCTAACCCAGGGTAAAGGCAGAGAGACTTGATAAAGTCAACAACAGGTAACCTAGTCAAAATAAATGTTGAAAGAACATTAAATTATGTGTAGAATACTAGTAGGTTTTAAATTTGGACAAAATTTAGATACAATATCATAAATAGTATTGGTGTTGTTCTTCGATCAGAATTATAGTTTTATCTTGATAATACATTACCATTTAATAAAATCATTTATTACATATAATATCAACATAAGATTTCAATTCTGACTAGAGACAACACAAAGATTACATATGGTACTGCATTTAAGTATTGTAAGATTGCCTATTTGCATGTTCTTACCCTTTTGGATCAAATTCTGCCATACCAATAAGGTTGATGATCTGTTTGACCAAAACCAAAAAACCCAAGAATTAGGAACCTCTACCTGCTATATATGGTTTATGTACCTATTGGTTAGTTTATGTACCTCACCAACAAAGGAGTTTGCAGCAATAACTCCAAGTGCTGTCCTCATGTGGCTCAGATATGCAACTGGACTTAATAGGGCTACTGATTTTACCTGATTCACCAATTTCCCTTCAGAGAGGGATGCCAAAGCTACCAAAGTTCCCTGCCAAACATGGCCTTGAAGTTTTAGCATCAACTACATCTAAAATTGCTGGATACATAAATGGTTGGACAAAAGTGATTTCAGTATATGTTTTCCAATCAAAATTGAAATTTCACGATGAATGATACACATTCACATTAAGGATTACCATAATATTCAAGTAAATTTTCATTTCTACTTAGAGAATAATAATTAAAAAAATGCATCTTAGTTTTTGTTATTAGGTATGATATGTATGTGATACATACCAAAGAATGGCCCACGAAATTTATCTTCTGCCCTGTTTGGTTGGACACATAATCAAAAATAGCAGGCAGATCATAAGTCACCATTTCATCCCAAGACCAATTCCAATAGTCCTTGCATATTTACATAACACATACAAATGTTAATTCACTTGAAAATAATGATGACATTAAGGAATAAGGATTGATTAAACAATAACATGCAAATAAAAAGAACCAACTGGGCTAGAGGGATCCAGAGAGGTGTGTCTGCAGCTATATCTTGTTCCTCTGGCGTTAGCAATCCACACATCAAAGCCATTATCAGCTAGAATCAAGGGCAGGTTTTGCTCTGGAAGATTCAGAAGCCATGTCATTCCATCCTGCATGCAAACCCATGTCCTAACATATTCAGACGACACTTTTAAGCACTCCTTTGCATTAAGAAACAAACAAAACTTATCCATCAATGATCTGTGCAAGTCTAATGATAATGATATATGTGCATAGTTTCAAGTTTGTATGAGGCACTAAGAGAAATCAGCAAGTGGGTTCCTAAACTATGAAGTATGTTTGAGACGGTGCATTATTTTGATTTGTCAAATTTCCATGGCAACTGCAAGTGTTGCCTTAAACTCCAATCAAATAATTCTCATACTCTATTATAATTTGGTGATAAAATTTATTTTAATATGTATTATTTGTTTTATTATTTTCATTACTAAGATTAATATTTTTAAGACATGCAAATTATTTAAGCACAATATTAATATTTATATTTTTTTTAATTTACAATTGCAACAATTAGGCTAGAACCTATAAGCCTATACTCTACGGTGGTTTCTAACTTATTGAAAACTGCTTTAAATGCATAGCCTATTTTATTTTAATTAAATAGCACATTCTTTTTTTGTTGGTCATGCCAACATGAGATTTAAATTTAACTTGGTATCACCTATCAAGACATTATCAACTTCGTCAATTTTAGTTTGTTCGTGAAATAGTATCATGTGTAAATCAAGTGATGATTCATATTGGGTGAGTGATAGAACTAATTAATTAAGTTTTTTCAATTTTATTAGTTAGAACTTAGGTTCGAATTTAACTTTCAATCTGTCATTTTGTTTGAAATCTTTAAATAAGTTAGTAATTGATTTTAATTTTATATGAAGTCATATTTTACACTAATTTAAACTTTCTTGTAAAATAAAATAAAATTAAGTGATGATCCATATTTTTATTTTTTTTTCACATTAAAGTCTCACAGAAAAAGAAAGAGAGAAGAAACCAAAGATTCAATATATATGCCACATGACTCCATTAAAATGTAAAAATGAGAGTCAATTACCTTAAAATATACTAGAATATATTAAATTAGGATTAGCCTATTGATTTGATGGGAAGGAGTTGAGATAATAAAAATATGAAAATCTAAACTTAATCTTTATTATGTTCATTTTTGTAACCTTTATAAATAATACTAGAATATATTACATTTTAATTCATTTTATCCATTACAGTGAAAAATAATATTGAAATGAGAATCTCGGTTTCACTTTTCTTTTCTGAAACTATCAATCATTGAACAGTTCATTTTGAAAAGCTTATATATTAATGATTTCAAGATGTTAAAAGATGAAACTAAGTAAGTCGCTGTATTAAAAAACATTTGTTGTTGTAGGAGGTCGATATCTTAAATAGATGTTAGTATCTTTGAAGATTATTCTTTACTTTTAGAATTTCTCTCTATTTTTTTTATCTAATAAGTTACTAATAACCTTTTTTCATTTTTTGTGCTGATACTTTTTCTTAACTTTTGTTAGAAAAGTATGGTTGGAAAAATAATTTAAATTTCTAAAATTTTCTTTGATATAAAAAGATCTTTAGGATATTAATTAGAATTAAAAAAATTATTTATTTTAATTTTTTTTATAATATTAAATGTAAAGTTAATAAATAGAAGTATTTGAAACAAGAAGAATTATAAAGAAGTGATCACTACAAAAAAAAAAAAAAAAGTATATGCTAACAGCTAATTTCTATTGGTTTTAATAAACTTCAAGAAAATATTATAATTCCAGCTGTTAATTTTGTTGTCACAAACAATTTAATTTTTTGGTAATTTAAAATCCCCACGATGTTTATTAAGTTTCTGAGATAAATTTAAAGAAAAAGTTTCTCAAAAACTTTACTAGAAAACTTATAAGAAGAATTATAAACTATTGTGAAAAAATTTATAAGAAAAATTTTTCAAATTTTGCCATAAAACTTATAATACAATTAGAAATAATGAATAGTTGAATCACAATAAATAAATTTGTATAGTCTTTTCTTATTTCTTTATAAGGCATTCTTTTTCAATTTTCTTATAGAAAGAGTTTTTATTTTTAACAATAATATTAGAATTCATGAATCACTTAAATATTGAAATTTGATGAAATTAAAAATGGATCATGTTTTACCAAAAAGTTTTAGGGAGAGTTTATCAAGTCAGCTACATATCACATATATAAAAATTCATCAAATATATACTAGTCCAGTCTAAGGATACTCCGAATCATACAACAAAATTTTATTTTTCCAAGCTTATTTATAACACCAACTTTTTGAGTCTTAAGCAAGCCAAAATCTAGATCGTCCCATTCGTTGTGACGTACGATACTTTGAATAGGGGCAAAATCAAAAGAAATTAAAGGAAAAACCTCGAGAGTTGTGTATATATAATATATCAGACACGAAAATTGACCCTTTCTGTACCAGAGCCAGATTCACACAATGAGAGAGTGTGACATTTCTGGTTGGTGGATCTGTTCTTCTTTAATGAATGCTATAACAGATATTTATGAATAGCATGTTTTTGGAAAATGAAAAAGGCTGATCAATAAATAACTATTCTACATGAATTTAATGTTCGAGATAATGCTAAAATAATAATTTTGAAATTTTCATTACTATTATTTTAACATGTTAAATTTTTTAATTATCAAATTATTAATCTGAACAATATTAGATTTAGTTTTTTAAACAAAAATTTAAATTTATATCTGATAAAAAGAATATGATTAAAAAATATATTTTACTAAATATAATTAATTTTTGGTAAAATTAGTTATCAACATAATAGTTAACTACATATTTTATATCAATAATATAGCTACATAAAATTATTATAAAATCTTAATTAACTATAAACACATTTATTATTTCATTCAAGAAGGACCAAATTGAAAATGGTGAATTGCTAACTTACCACCAATACTCCATGATGTAGTATCACTGGCTGTTTCTTGGTCACACCGCCACTAACCTCACCTCGACCTTGAGGGATCCTTTGAAGGCTAAGAATGTACCCATCTTTTGTTGTAACCTGAGTAAAGTTGTATGAAACATTTAATCATTTATTCTAAGACTTAAATGATTATGTTTTCTGATTATAAAAACTTTTTTTTCTTCTATCAATTAATCAAATATTATCGTTAGAATAAATTTTAAAATAATTATAGCAAAAGTTCATAAATTATTATATGTAATGTTTTGTAATTAGATATGTGTATGACTGTTTTTTTTATTCTAATTAATCGACATGTAACAATATTTGTCACTTGATGTATATTAAGATTAGAGAAATTTCCGTGACACTTTACTGTTAATATTTTTTTTATTAACTAAAAATTATAAATTTTGATAAGTTTTATTTCTGAATTAAAAGAGAGACCCTCTAAATTAGATATAAAATTAACTTACAAAATTTATGATTTTCAATAAAAATGATAAAGTGTTAGAAGAAGAAGAAGTATATATATACTCAGAATATCTCTTAAGATCATGAAATGTATTTTATTTTTCTTAATATGATATGAGTATCTATCATTAAAAGTATAAATACAGATAAGATAAATATTTCTCTTCTAATATAATATGTTTCATATTTAAAACTACGACTTAAACATCGAATAACTTGGTTAAGAAATAAAAAATACGATGCCAAGTGCCAACTAATGTTGGTTGAATTTCTTAACAGATAATAACAACAATATAAAATCTTTTTCACAATCATTTGCAAGTTATATTCTAAATATGTATTAGTATATAGTACATGTTTAGAGGTCTTACTTGAAGTTCCTGACATTTGTATCCATGAATGGTGACAGAAGAGGTGCATAAGCCATGAAGTGGAGGTTGAGCTGCGACGTATTTTCTTCCATGAAAGGCACGGCTTGATGCGTGTGCTTGAAGGGACATAAATTGTAAGAGAAAGAAAGAAAGGATCAAAGCAACAAAACCCAACAAGCCCATGAGAGCCATGACTTTTGGTTTTACAAGTGTGGAAGAGGATCCCTTTTATACAAGGGGATGAAGAGTGAGTTCAAAGTTGAAACCCAAAAAGTGGAACATGATGGGAAAATGGGTTGTTAAAAAGTCTTTTGAATACGTTTCTTTCGAGTAATACTTTTCTATTCTCATAAATGTGAAAGTAAGGATATTTATTCTTTTGTTAAAAAGGTTATAATTAAGAACATATTTTTGCATTTTTTTTATTTTTAGGAAAATTTATTCTTTTGTTAAAATTTTTACATTTGACATGTTACTCATTTCCAAGTGAAAAACGGGTATTTTATATAATCATGAGAATGAAAATTACTTTTTTTTTTTTAATAAACTACTTCTTTTCACATTTATTATTTATTTTATTTTTTAATTAATTTTTTTTATTAACAATGACAACTAAACACGTTAAACTTGGATATAACATTTTAAAAAAAATAAAATTATGAGAATAAAATATTAAACATCAAAACAAACGTCTCATTTTAGTTTATATTATCCCTTTTCCTTTCTAAAGATGTTTTTTATTTCCTATTTTCTCAATTTTCATGGCTAATAAAATTTTAAAATATAAATTTTATTAGGGGTGTAAGTGGGTTGGGTTGAACAGATTCGTTACTCAATTAAATCAAAATTTAACTAATTGGATGAGTTAATTTGTGCAATTTTTTTTTAAATCAATCTAACCCAATCGAATCACGATTGAGTTGGGTTGGTTCAGGTTAATTGTTTCAACATAATTAAATTTATTTATTTTTGTGAAAATTTAAATATTTCAAAATATATGTAAATCATTAATATATTGACGCAAATATAATGTTATGAATTTATAAAGTAAACAATGATACAAATTAAATTTTAAATTAAGTTTATTAATTTGTTATATCATTATCAACTCAAAAACCCAATATTAATTAATACAAAATAAAATTTAAAATAAATATATTATATTGTTACAATGATATCAACCTAAAACACAAAACTTGTTACTAAATAAGAGTAAAAGTAAGTATTGTCTTGAATAAATGTATTATTATTATTATTATTATTATTATTATTATTATTATTATTATTATTATTATTATTATTATTATTATTATTATTATATGATCGGATTGGGTTGGATAACGAGTTGAAAACACAAAACTCATTACTTGACACGTACAATGTTGAGATTTGATCGGGTTGGATTGATTCTGATCCAAACATTGAAAAAATTTGATCTGAATCTATTGAGTCGCTTTGAGTCAGTTTGGGTTCACAGATCACTCGTATCTGCTTACACCCCTAAATGTCATTTTTCTTAAAGGATGTATTATCTTCATTTTATTTATCTATACATTTATTCTATACATATTATAAAAGGGATACAATAATATATAATTATTTTTTGTCTCTATTTTTAGTAGACCATTATACCTTTCATATGTTAAAAAAAAAACTTCTCACATTTTTTTTGAATAACTAACCACAACTATCTAATATCTTATCTATATAATATTGTTAGAGACACGAAGTATTTCAAACCCTTTAATTTTAATAATACTTTGAGTTATGATTTTTATGTAATTTTAAATACACTTACAATTTTTTTAGTAATATTCTTATTATTTTAAAATAAAATGTTAAATAAAATACTGGTACATACCAAGGATTTTGATTAAAAAATAAAACAAACAATATTAATTTGATTATTCTTTCAGGACTTTTATAGAAAAAATATTTAAAATATTTAAACTAAAATTATAAACAAATTTAAATCTAATCGATCAACATTATTTAATATTTTTTTAACTATATATATATGCGCTTAAAGATATTTTAGTAAATATAATATATATTTTTATGTAAAATTATAAAAATTAAATATATTTAATTAATTTTTAATGTAAAATTAGTCGATTTTAATTTATAAATAGGTGGAGAAGTAGAGTTTTCTGTTTTTCTTTATATACTACAGTATTGGTAGGAGTAAGAATTTTCTATGCTTTGAAAGACTACAGACTAAACACACAAAAAGGTAAATAAATAAAATAGAGATTGAAAGACTAGCATGAGAAATAAACTCAAAATTTGCAGAAAGTTCTAAACACCAAAAGCATTTGGTCCGAATTTATGAGAATGCCCTCACCACGTATTCGTCAACAACTCAACATGGGTACAAGACGATCAAAGAATTAGAAACACTTTGCTTTTCAACAGTCTACAATCCTTGTTTTCGTCTTTAGAATTACGAAAAAGAGAAGAGGATTTGAAGGTGGAAGTTGTTCAAATAACTTTGAGATCAAAGCAAAGCCATCCAAATTGAAACTTCTGCTATATATTCTCTAATAATTTTCTTCTAATATATGTTATTCTGCTTCTGAATTTACGTAATTTTCACTTACGTGATTGTGTAACTCTGATGTAAGACAAATAAATAAGATATTCTTGTTGATCACGTGTTAGTATTGTCTGTGTCTATTTATCTGAATTTGAAGGCAAAGCTTCTCCAATAGCACCTTAGAACTAATAAGTGGATGAATGTTATATGATTTAATCAAGATTCTCTGTTGTTCATGGCTACATGACACTCAATTGAGATACTTGCCAAGAAAGTACACAACCAAAAAACCAATCAGGAAAAAGAATATTACATCTCATATGCTATCAGGTTTAGATATGTAGGAGCTGTTGTGTCATCAACTATGATCTTAGGAGGGTGCAGTGTCATTGCAGGGTGTCATTGTTCTTTATATAAACCCTTGTATACCCCTTCTTCTACAAGTGCACTAGAAACATAACATGTTCGTAGCATAATCATACTGGCTCAATCATATTTAAGAACTTGCATAATAAAATTTATATCAAGTCTCTTCATATACATTCTTATCTATATTTCAATTATTCAAAATGAGCTTTGATGAAAAACAAGGTGCTGTTTTATGTTGTTTTCATGATTGGACTCAAATCATCTGTCAAGTTTCATGTCTCTTTTTCTATAACTAAATTAAAATGTGAAATACGATTAAAATGTATCATGTTTGTTGCTGATAGTTTCTTTTTGCTGATTCATAAAATCCAAGTTATATAAATTCTGAGCTCATTATCATATCAACATGTAATGAACCTATTAAAGTGTTTGGTTAATTGGTTGTTTTAACAATCTAACAGACACAAATCAAAGCTAAAATTATAAAAGAATTAAGAATTAAAACTGAAATTCGGTATATTGTTAAAGTGTTTAATACGAGGTATACCTGTCTTCACACATGTCCTGTTTCATAGCAGGTTTAACTGGTGACAAATGATGACACTGAAGAAAGTTGTTCATGGTTTTTAATAGTTTGGCATCATTCTCGTGGCCTAACAAAAGTTTAAGCACCTGATAATATAGGAAGCTGATTCTCTAACAATTTATGATGCACCGATACGATACGCGTATCGTATCCGATATGACGATATGATTATTTTAAAATATATAGGATATGATACTTGTAAGATACGTGTCATCATATATATCGATGTTCATACAATATAATAATTGTGTACTTGTAATTTTGATCAAAATTCATAAATATTAAATATATAATTGTTATTTTGCAAATCCAAATTAAAAACATACTTATTGTACATTACTAAAAATAAATCAATTATAAATCATTTCATCATAAATTACTTTTTATTATTTATAAATAGAAATAATATTACCAATTTCATTCCTTTCTTAAAATTATCCATATATAGAAGACAATTTTAATTTATAGTTCATCAAGGACCAATATTTCTATGTTTTTATATTAAATATGTTTATATATCTTATTTATCTGTAATGGATATTTCATAATTTTTAAAAAATTTGAATATTTTATCGATACGTATCACTAATAAGTATCGGTGAAGTATCTGAGAGTATCAGAATTGAATAAAATTTTCATAATATTTTTAAAGACTAGGATACTTCATTGACACGTATCGATGAAGTATTCAAGAGTATCGTGTCGGATACGGATACGTGAAGCAAATTGAAGTATCGGTGCTTCATAGCTAACAATAGAGAACATCCTGCCACACAAGAACCAGTTGGTCAACCTAAACTTCAATTTTTTCTGGTTCATCAAGTTCTCCCTTATCCAAAATTTGTAACAGAGAACATCCATCCACAAGTAGCATCCATGATAGCTTTTCATCATCAGGGAAATCTCCAATGACATCCTCAGAAAACAGTTCCTTCAGCTCTTCGATATTTGATTCAATCTTTTGGTACAAAGCTTGTGCTTCTTGTTTGGTGCGTTTAAGGTACATTGCTGCTCACATATATTTGTATTTTTCTCCCGGATGGAGGTTCTTTGCACCATGATGGATTGGACCAATTGACACCAACCTGGGTGAGTAGCTTGGCAAAATGTTTTCGATCTCAGAGGTAATGTGCTACCCTTTGTATCTTTGGAACTGGATTTTGTGCTACTTAGATCTGCTTGTTAGTAAATTTTATGATTACATTTTATGATTACATGTAATTCTGTAATGTTCATATCATACAAGAAAATTATATTTTCCTTAGATCTTAGATAACACATTTTTTACTTCTATCATATTTTTTAATATCTATCGGAAAATTTAAAAGACATACCTAAATTCATAATGTAATTTAAAATTTCTAATAAATTATTCCCCTTCTCTTACTTCTTTTACTTTGTCTCTATAATAATGTTAAAAGTTTTTTAATTGATTCTTGACAGTTTTGTTTTAAGTTTTCACAATTTTCTCTATGAAAACAAGTTTTTAAAAGATACTTAAAAACCAAGTCATGAGAAAAAAAAACTATACTTTTATAAATAATCAACTTTAATTTCTACGACTTCCTTTTTCAATGTTTTTCTTTGATGTCAAAATTATCCTTATGGTATGAAAAAAGAGAGAATTGATTTTAATAACTTTAAAATAATTTTTAATTGACTTTTAATATATTTTAAACTTAACAATCATCATATTAAACATCTTTTAATTAAAAATTATTCTTTAATTACACGAGTTATTATTAAATTAAATAATCTAACACCAGTGAATTAAACTTTAGGCTGACGGATGGTGTCTCAGTCTGTTGTGGAATAATGCTATTGGAAGATTGGTGGGTATGTTTAGTTTTCTAGATTAATGAAGTTGATAACCCGTAAAAACACTTAATGTAACAGTTTATATAGTCGAACTAAGGTGTATTAAGAATCACTGAGCTTTGCTCGTACTTCAAATTTGAATTATGAGTTCAGTAATTCAGGAATATATTAAACAATATCCTTTGCTTGATTACGATTAGTTGGGAGTATACAGAATTGAAAAGGAAAAATGAAGAAAATAAATTAAAAGTACTTCTGCGCTATATTTTTATTAACCAAGTACTAGATGCATTTAGCTTTGTTAATGTGTCAAGTTTGGAATCACTGATAGAAAATTCACTGTGAAAAGGAACCTCAATAAACAATCTTGGGATCTTTTACTGAACAATTTTAAGAAAGGAAAGTTGGGTGCATTTTGCTTTTCTAATATTTCTAGCGTGAATAGATTCGTGGGGAAAAAGCTTCATCAAACAAGTTTGTAGAATCAGATTTTATCATAAAGATTGTAGGCTTATTTACTTTTGTTAATGTTTTATTTTATGTTATCTAGTTTGGACTTCATGAGAGTAAGTAATAGCCAATGAAGAGCTGCAATAGTTTATAGAAGTGAACCTACACTAAGTGCATAAAAATTAGCCTATCTAGTTCCTTAAGTTTATGCTACCTTTTTTGTTTTAGTTTTTATAACATGTCAATTATTTTTTATGTTGTATAACCATGTCAGTTTATGCTACTTGAAAGTTTCTTTTAATATACTAATTACTGAAAAAACATTATTCTATTCTTTACGATTTTATTTTTAATCACAATACGATTAAGCATTTCAATCCCTGCAATGTAATGCCTCAATGCTTTAGTTAACCTTAGATTAATATATTTTAAACAAACAATTACTTGATTTGTACACAAGTAACAAAAATTCGATTAAATTATAGTTTTGATGTTTTAATTTATTTTAAGATTTAATTTAATTTTACTATTTTTATATAGTTTAATTTTAGTGTTTTGAAATTTATTTTAGTCCCACTAGTTTTATGTAGTTTAATTTTTTTTTTTAATTATGTGAATATGATTTGACCAATAAACTATTAAACTATTTAGACTGATTTCATAACCGTTTCAATTTTTATTAAGAATGGTTGCGAGGGACAGTCACACCTAAATTCACGAAGCATTAAAATTGAAGATTTTCTTTCAATTTCTTAAATTCAAAGGTGGTAAGTTTATTCTACATGAATTCAAGGAGAGATTCAAATTTGCTATTAGGAAAAAGGATGTGCTTGAGCTGAAAAAGTAGAGGATCACAGGTTCCTTCAAAGAAGTGGTGAAAGGAACTTTGAAAAGGAAGACAAGAACAACATGTGCCATCAAAGTAACCGTGGAAAATGGGGTCCTCACTGTTACTGTTCCTAAGATCGAAGTCAAGAAGTCAGAATCCAAATATCAGATTGAAAATTTCTTAACTTTCTCTAATTTTCTTGTAATATATTGTGCTGATTCTAATTTTTATTTGCATGATTGTGTAATTCTAATGCGAGGCAAATGAATCATATACCTGTTGATCAAGTGTTACTCTTGTCTGTGTGACTCTGTCTATTTATCTGGGTTACATTTTGATTAGCATGATTGTATAGCTCTAATATAAAGGAATCTAATAGTCTTCAAAACATGAAATCCCAAGTGAGTTATGCACGAGCATATACCTTTGAACTAACTTAAATCTTAATATATGTTTTTTTTTATATTATAAAAAGAATATTAATTTCACACATACTTAAAAAACACAATTAGATGCAATTTTTTTTTTTTTTTTTACTTTTAATGTTATTATTCTCTCAAAAGAGTTGGAGTTTACTTTGGTAGTCAATTGTGATATTTAACTTAAACGTGAAGTAAAACTCCAATTCTGATAAGAAAACAACACGAAAAGTATCTGAGCAGTTCATCTAAATATTGTCCATAAAAAGAAAAGAAAGACACATAATCCCAACCTAGTTGAAATGGTGAGTGAATTAGCCAGCATGAGCAGGGTGAATAGCAAACCAAGTTTGGATGAAAGTGAGAAGAATAGCAAGAACAGCAGCATGGAAAGCAATGATTGACCAAGGGTTGCTAAAGTATCTATGACAACCAAGAGATATCCACGTCCAGCATTTGTTCCTATAATGCTTCTCAATTTGTGCTCTAACATGCGAATAGCTCTCTGAGTCAGGCACCAAGTCAGTGCTTATGGTGTTGAAGAGCTTTGCCACTTCCTCATCACTCCCAAGGGCATTGTGCAAAACCCCTGCTTTTCTCAGCTCCTTAACATCATCAGGGTGGTCAATAAGCGAGTCCATGAAGGCCACAAAGGAGCAAATCTCGTAGTTGTTCTTAAAATCTGGACACACCTCATATGCTATAAGGTTGAGAAAAGTAGGAGCTATTGTGTCATCAACTGTGATCTGAGGAAGCTTCAGTTCTGCACAAAGACACAGCCAGCGATAAGAGAAAGAGATGTCTCTGAGACTGTGTGAGTTGTTTGTCTTCAGTTTAATCCCTGCTGCTCTCAGTTCCTTTATGTTCCTGTATGTTATCTCCTCACTCGTCTGCCCCGTGTTCGTGTTTCTTGGGCCACCAAGGTGTTTTATGTGAGAGTCTTCAAGGATATATCTGCGAAGCTGATCAAGAAGATGAATAGGTGATTCCGGGGGTATGTCTACTCTGTGTTCTCCTTGCTGTGTGACTTCTTCCAGGGGTATTTCTTCTGTGTGTTTTCCTTGCAGGGTGTGCCCTTTTGAGGATTTACTAAACGCATAACATGTTCATATCACAATTAATCATACTGTTATTAGTTTGAGGGTCTAGATATATTTTAATCCAAATCAATTATTTTGTGTATCAAACCAAATTTTAGGACAAATTTCTAAAGAGATCCTTAGAGATTTTTAGGACAGATTTCTAGAGAAATGTTTATATATTTTTATGATAGATTTTGAGGTATTATTCATGTATCTGTGAAGAGATAAACAACAGTACAAGATTGTTCTTTTCCAAAATTAGAGTTATTTAGTTCATGTCTCTTTTTCTATATCTAGATTGAAATGTGACATGCAATTAGAACATATCACTCTCTAAGGTGTCATTATTGATGTGTTTTATTCATAAATCTAAAATGAATTCTTATCTCACATGTCAACATGCAATAAGACTCACGATAATCCACAATCTTAAAGTGTTTGCTTTTTTAACAAAACAAGAAATACATACCAAAACTCAAATTATATATAAGCTTTAATCTGAGATATACCTGTCCTCATCCTTGGTTTTAACCTTGACCGTGTCCTGTTTCTTAACCTGTTGTTTTGGTTTTTCAGGCGACAAATGATGACACTTGACAAAATCTTTCATGATTTTTAATAGCGTGGCATCATTGTTGGGGCCTGACAGCAGTTTAAGCACTTGATAGGGAAGTTGGTTCTCTAACAAGAACACATCCTGCCACAAAAGAACCAACTGGTCAACCTTGACTTTCATTTCTTCTGGATAATGTATTTTTGCTTTCTCCAAGATTTGTAGAAGAGCACATCCATCCACAAGTAGCATCCACGATAGCTTTTCATCATCAGGGAAAGCTTCAATGAGATCCTCAGCAAAGAGTTCCTTCAGCTCTTTGATATTTGATGCAATCTTTTGGTACAAAGCTTGTGCATCTTGTTTGGTGCGTTCAAGGTACCTTGCTGCCCACATAAGCTTGTATTTTTCTCCCAGCTGGAGGTTCTTTTCACCATGATGGATTGGACCAATTGACACCAATCTGGGTGAGTAGTGTTTGGCAAAATGTTTTCGATCTCGGAGATAATGTGCTACCCTTTGTATCTTTTGGACTGAATTTTGTGCTGTTCCTTTTGCTTTCTCAAGTTGGCTAAACTTTTGGCTGAGGGGTGGTGTCTCAGTCATGTTGTGTTGTGCTGTAATGGTATTGAAGGATTAGTGGGTTACTTGGGCGTGTCTATGTGTTTAACAGATTAATGAATTTGGGTTCATGAAAACACTACACATTACATTTTATATAGTGGAAATGGGGAGTATAAAAATCACTGAGCTTTGCTCGTACTTCAGATTTATGAATTCAGAAATTCAGGAATGTAGGGCAATTGCCTTGTATCTGAAATATGGTTACATAGAATTCAAAAAAGAAAAAGAAAAAGAAAACAATTTAAGATCATTTTCGCGCGAATCTTTGATTAAATTAATTAAGCAGGGAGTACTATTACAAGATGCATTTAGACTTAGCTTTACTAATGTGTCACGTTTGGAATGACTGGTGGAGAATAAACGGCGAAAAAGCACTTCAATTAATGTATAAACAATCTTGAGATCGATAAAGCACTCTACTAAACAATTTCAAATAAGGGGTATTGGATGCATTTGCTTTGCTAATATATCACGTCTGAACAAATTCGTGGTGAAAAGGTGTTCCATCAAACAAGGAAGGTAGTAGAATCAGATTTTGTCATAAAGATATTGTAGGCTTATTTTGTTTGTTTATTGTTTTCAAGTTTGGATAAGTGATGTAGCCGATGAAGTGCTTCAATGCAATACTTAATGTGCTACGTATTCTTTTGAGAAACAGATTGCTTTGCTTCCTAATTTATATGCAACTTCTGCTATCTGGAACATCATTCTACTATTCATAGAAAATGTTATTATTTTATTTTAATGACTCTTTCTTCTTGATTTATTTATTTGGGCCTTCTATATCTTTATTTTTGTGACTTTCTGTAAGCCCATTTGTTGCAACAATTGTTTGGTCTTGGAGAGGCTTACTGGGAAGTCCTTTCTCTCTCGATCTCCCTCTCGAAGTCAACATTTACTTTGGTAGTCGAATTTGGAAGACATATTTAGTCTCTAAATTAAGAAATTGTCCCATAAATTTTTTTAAAATATTAATGAAGTTATAACTATACCAGTATAACTTTTACTAAGTATTATTACACTGCTCATAACTTTATATTAAATGTGAATTTTGTAAATCTAACCGTTAGATTGAAAGTTCATATCACTTTATATGTTTATAAAAAAATTTGTTAAAATTGAACAATAATTTGAAAATAATAAAAATGTTAATATTTTAGTAAAAGTTATACTGATGTTATTATAGTCTCTCTCTCTCTCTCTCTCTCTCTCTCTCTCTCTCTATATATATATATAATGTTGTCATTTACATTTTACTTTCTGAGTCATTTGATTCCTCCTCTCTCTCTCTCTCTCTCTCTCTCTATATATATATATATATATATATATAGTGTTCGTACCGGAAATCTACTATAGAGATGATCCACCAGGTAAGATTGATGAGCCTCCTTCACTGGTACGCTGATGCTCCAAGATGGGTTGGTACTTGCAAAAGAGACTCCGATGCTAAAGTTAGGGTTTGTATGAGTATGAATCTTCTATATGTAATGCATGTACCTTGATGTATATTAGGGTTGCGTTGGGCCTTGGGCCTGAGATTAGTTGTGATTTGATTAGGTAGAGAATCTCGCCTAGACCGAGATTTCCTGAGATCGGTTACGATCTATTTAAGTGCCGAGCTGACGCCACGTAGCGCGTGTCCGAGGTCAGCTCATGCTGTGGTACCGAGCTCGGAGCTCGGCTTCGGAGTACGGATAGTACATTAGCCTCCCGAGCTCCAAAGACCGTAGGTCAAGGAGTTAAGACCTAGCTCGTCAAGTGGGTGCAACCTTTCGTGTACGCCTGCTTGCTGAGGTGCCACGTGTCATAACTGGTCACTTCCGAAAACGTGCAAGTGGCGCGTTAATCGAAGTGACGGTTATGTAATGGTAGTTTGCATTTGTCATGATGGTTCTCCATTAATGTGTCATCAGACGTGCCTCTTGGCTGACACGTGGCGTGACCGTTTTGAATTTGGGAGAGAACCTTCTTTTCTCTCGCTCGCGCCTCTTCACCTTTCACTTTACTCTTTTCGTTTTCTTTCTCCCTTGGCTTCTTGTGCAAGCTGCTTTGTGCACCTTCGCTTTCGTGCAGTCTCCGTCGCTATTTTCACAGTTTTCGCCGCCGTTTCCGGTAACCCCGTCATTATTAGGGTTGTTTTGTGAGGAAGAGTACCAGGTACTTCCTTTCTGCAGTTTTCTTTTTTCTTTTCCCCAGATCTTCTTTTTCTTTAATGGCTGGTGGAAGTGGTGCCGGTTCGTCTACGCCTGCCAGGGGTAAGGCGCGCGGCAAGGCGG